GCCAGACTTGAAAAGTCCAAACATCCCTGCATAGGGGGGTCTATCCAGCCCCCCATTTCCAAACCAAACCAAACTTTTCTTTCCAAATCTGGCTTTTTCCAAGTTCATTTGTCAAATCCAAAAGCTCATGTTCCTGTTGGGCCCCAGCTCCCTCCATCTCTGGCGCCCAAGATTCAGCAACATCCTCTTCCCTCACCTGTTCTGTCAGGGCACACTCCTGATTTAATTCCTGGGTGGGCTCCATATATTTTCCCACTGCCTGTTCAAAATTTCCCACTGCCTGTTTAAAATTTCTGATCGAATCAGTCATCAAATCCGTCTTCTCATGTAACTGTTCCAGTAGGGCATTTGTTTTATAGAAAGCACACAACAGAGCTTCTGAATACATTGTCCTGCAAGGTCAGAAGTCTATTCCCACGATTGTAATCTGTAACAGCTGCAAGCTCCCCGAGTTGGTTACAGTTTCACAGTCTCCCTCTAGGGGGAAAACTATATTTGTTCTTTCTTTTAAAGACAAGTCTAGCAACAAAGTTTCCTTTTTCAGATATTTTGTCAATATTTGTTCCTTTAAAAAGCGAAGGGGGACAATGGAATCAATGTTTCTCTTCTTATAGCTATCTGTCAAAAACATTGTCTCTGGTCAATGAGCTTCAAAAGACGTCAGTCCTAACACCCCGCTCCAGGATCAGGACGGTGGAAAGTTACTTTGCTTTAGACTTACTTCTGCAGGTTTAAACAGTCCGAAAAAATCCCCCCTCTTCTCCTGCTTCCGAAGGGGGTTCAACAATTTTAAATGATGAAAGTTAATCTTTTACAGGCAATTTTCTTAGCTCTAGTTTGCCATGTCTTTGCTTTAATCTATCTACAAAGAAACGGAAGGCTGACTTCCTGTTTAGACCTTCCCGTTTCAGTGCCAAATTGAGGTAAACTTTTAAGTCCAATTTTCCTTTCTGCTCACAAATCCTTATTTAAAGTCCAATTGTCCGAGTTTAGGTACTCACGGGTGATTATTTTAAAAGCCAAATTGTCCCAGGAAAAAGGCAGCGCTCTCCGGCAACGGCTGTGCGGCTTCGCTCCACGGAAGAAGCAGTTGACTCACAGCAACGCGCCACTTCCCCCTCTTCGCTTCGGAGCCCGTTAGTGGGTTCCTTTGCGGGTTGGGGGGGCGCTAAAGGTGCCCGCCAAGTCCCATGGTCACAGGCTTCATCCGCCTGTGATTTTTGAATGGGTCCCCGCTTCGCCGTAGCGGTAAAGACCCGTTTCCCATGGAGCTGGTCCCTCCAGTTCAGAGGGAATCCGCCATTGCCGATGGCGCCACCCCGGAAGTCCTATACTGGAACGATTTTAGAATGTTGTATCATTTTACTGTTGTTAGCCGCTCTGAGCCCAGCTTCGGTTGGGGAGGGCAGGATATAATTTTTTTTTTTTTATTATTATTATTATTATTATGTGACCAGGTAGATGGGTGTGACCTGGGAGACCCCATAAAGGAGCTAGTCATGGAACCATCTTTCTCTCTTGAGCCCATCTCTTGTTGTTTTTTGTTTTTTGAATAATAAATTTTATTAGTATTTTCCACACAACAAAATAACAGAAAATAACAATACACAAAACACAAAAACAAGCATGCAAAAAAACACACACAAATCCAAATCTTATAAGTTAGTAATATAAACACTAAAAAGAAAAAGAAATATTGACTTCCACCAATCCCACAGCACCTCCTTTACCTCTCATTGTGTCTTCCTGTTTTCCTGATCATCTCTATCCTAGCATCTAGATATAAATCCCTCTTTCTTCTCCTTTCACTTCACAAGGTTATTCCAGACTCAGCCAGATTTCTGTCCTCGAACCTTGGCTTTTAAGGTATTCATTTAGGCACTCCCATTCCTTTTTCACTTTTTGGTGTTTGTCTTATCATATCTGTCAATTTGGTTAATTCTAAATATTCTGAAAGCTTACATCTGCTCTTGATGCCTTTGCTGTGTGCTGGCTCTTACCTTTCCTGCCCTGACCTGGCCACAGTGATCCATGCGACAGTCACCTCCAGGCTTGATTACTGTAATTCGCTCTATGTGGGGCTGCCTTTGAGACTGACCCAGAAACTCCAGTGGGTGCAGAATGCTGCAGCGAGACTCCTCATGGGGTTCTCGCCGCAGGAGCACATTCATCCAGTGCTTTACCAGCTGCACTGGCTCCCGGTGGAGTACAGGGTCAGGGATAAATACGCTTCAGGATAAGTATTTTCAGGTTGCGCTCCGCAGCAACCCGGAAGTAACGGAGCACGTTACTTCCAGGTTTCGTTGCTCGCGCATTTGCAGACGGTCAAAATGACGTCACGCGCATGCGCGGAAGCGCAGTTGCGTCTTACGTTCTGTTCAAGATGCGAACGGGGCTCTGGAACAGATCCCGTTCGCATCCCGAGGTACCACTGTACACCTGGAAACTATCTCATAAGCAGACAGTCCCTTTGTCCTCTCTGGGCTGGAAGCCAAGATAGCATCTTTGGCTAAGCAGATGTTGCTTCTTCGATGCATGTAGTCAGAGAGAGAGAGATGGTGGCCAGTCCTATGCTTTTGTTACCTGCACAGGTGAGGCCACACCCACCTCTAGTCACATGCAGAGGAAGTCTGTCCCAGCCCAGAAGGAAACAGGAAGTTGACCTGCTGGCTGGACAAACATTCCTCCCCATGTGTAAACATGTTCACTCTAGGAAGGTTGTACTTGACTGCTCTTGTGTTTCACACCCCACACTTCCAACTCTACAATTCTATGATTCTATATGATTATTTCAGTGGCTAAATACCCCAAAGAACCCAGGGGTCTAGAGAGTCTGCCTCTTGACCTGCAGGTTCCGTAAGGAAATTTTCAAAAGCCTGGCTGCTGGATCAGGCCAGTGGCTGTTCTCACAGGGGCCAAATTGATGCCCCAAAGGGAAGCAGGATACGAGCACAGGAACACTCTCCTCCCCCGCAATTCAGAAGCATCACACAGCATAGTCCTGTCCACAGTTCTTGGCATTTGCTGGATCCTTTCAGTGCTGACCGAAGCCAAAAATCCAACTCGCTGACCGCACAACCTGCCCTTCCCCTCCGGCAAGGATAAACCATCACAAACACGGAGATGTCTTTGAGATGAAAAGGCCCCCGGAGCTCCTCTGCTACCGGATTTCCACTGATCGCAGTGTGGTTCCCCTGCTCCAGCAGCTTATGAATTATTCTCCTTCAGCCTCCAGAGGGGAGGATTTCAGAAGGTAAAACAGCAACTTTATCTGAGGCCAACTTCAAAAGGCAGGAGCTGGGCACCCAAAGCATGACGGGTACTCACTGCTCTCATTCGCAGGCTGCCGCGGTCGGCGGAGCCAAGGTGAAATCGTGCACGGCAGAAAGGGGAAAGCCGTGTTTCGGGGAAACTCAGCCAGCGTGGGGCACCCACAGGTTCTGACTGCGCGACAGTTTTTTCGCCAGCAACGGCTTCTGTGCCTCTAAGCAGAAAAACACCTGACCTTCTGCTGATGGCAAGAAGGGGCAAGGGCTTTCCTCTATGTTGCAAAAAGTGTCACCTCGAATAAGATTCGGGACAGGTAAAAGAAGCAACCTGTTCATGCAGTGAAGATAAACCGTGGAACTCACTGCCACAGGACGCAGTGTAGGAATGATCGCTGGGTTGCGGAGCACACTCCCGCCCGCAGGCAGCCTCAGCTGTATGCACCATAGCTGTCAACCATCCCTTATTTGGCAGGAAACTCCCTTATCCCAGTGCCGTGTCCCACTGCTGTCCCTTATTGATGATGTCCCTTAAATTTCCCAGGTTTCAAAGGAAGCAGCTCCTCTCCCTCCCTCCCTGCCGGCCAGGGAGGAGGGAGGCTCCAACTGTGTTGCTTGGCTGCGTTGCTCACCCAGTAAGGAGTCCAAGAACGACTGGGGGGGGTGGAGGTTGCATGCCTTGTGCCGATCAAATCAGCCGCCTTGCCTGGGGACTTGCCTTTGCTCAGTGCTTCCCAGCAAAGAGGTGACGGTGGTTTTCCTTGCTGCATCCCCTTTGCCGGGTTGCTGCGCTATGGGAACCACCGCTTGAGGCTTCATTGGGCTGCTGGCTGGGCTTTCTGCCTTTGGCTCGGAGGGGCTCAGAAGTCTAACATACCTGTGCCCTGAAAATCCCTTATTTTGGCTGCTGATCCCTTATTTTGTAGGCTGCTGGTCCCTTATTTCCAAATCTGTAAGTTGACAGCTATGGTCTGCACATGTGACCTTGGGGTGTGGCACACACTCCCCCTCACAGATAAGGCCACAGCTGTCTGAACATCTTGCCCTCTGTCTAACCTTTTGCGGTCTAAATAGTCTGCCATTTCCTGTCTGTGACCCTTGTCTCTGAGACCTTTCACCTGTGCAAGGGGGAAATGATGCAGTGGAAACAGATGCCAAAATAACTTTGTACCACCCCACAATCTCGGGACTGGAAGATGTGTAAAGGTCACAGCCCAAAAATGTACCGTATTTTTCGCTCCATAAGGCGCACCGGACCATAGGGCACACCTAGTTTTTAGAGGGGGAAATCAAGGGAAAAAATCCGCTTCTCCCAGAGCTGCTGGGGCTGCTGGGGGAAGCCCGGGTTCCCCCCACCCCAGCCCCAAAGAGCAAAGAAGCCAAGACAATTTTCGCTGCGATTTGAACCGCCGACCTTCTGATCGGCAAGTCCTAGGCTCTGTGGTTTAACCTACAGTGCCACCCGCGTCTCTTAGTCAGGTAGTCGGTCTCTAAGGTGCTACTAGACAATTTATTTTTTTATTTATTTATTTCGACTATGTGAACAGAGTCTCACATCAAATGCGACTCTATGAATGAAAAACAGAGATGCTATATAGGTACCTTTGTTCTCCATGAAAATCTTTCGGTAAAAGCATACACACACACACAAATATATATCCTCTCCTAATGTCTAAATCCTCTCACTCATACGCCGCCTCTCCTCATTTAACTGCCAGAGATTTTCCCCGACTCTCAACAAGAACGGCCGCTTTTGGAGACCCCGCGATGCTCACCTGTACACTAAGGTATCGTCCGAGGAGCTGTTGTATTGGATCTGGTACATCCGAATCCCGGGCACGTGCCACTGCGGGTACCAGCGGATCAGCACCGAGGAGGCAGACACCTCCGAGGCCGCCACCCCCTTGTCCTGAGAGGCCCCCGTTTCGTTGGCACCGGCGGGGAGGGCGCCCTTAGCCGGAGTCAAGATATCCGAGGGCCCTGCCGCCTCGGGGTGCTTGGAGGCTGTGCCGTTGGCGAGGTGTGGCAAAGGGTTGACCACCAGCTCGATGGACGTAGTGGCCTCGCCGGCGGCGTTGGAGGCGATGCAGGTGAAGGCCCCGGTGTCCTGGACGGTGGCGATGAGCACCTCGAGCGTGCCGTTCTCGTAGGAGGTCGTCCGGGAGGTGTTGGCCACCACTTTGCCTTCCGGCGAGACCCAGTGGATGGAAGGCTCAGGGTCGCCCACACCGCGGCACCGCAGAACCGCCTCCTCGCCTTCCGTCACCACCAGCCGGCCGGTGTAGCGGGTGATGACCGGCGGCTCGCAGATGAACTCCTCCTCCGGGATGGTCCAGAAGTATTTCCCCAGCAGGTCCGGCGGAGAGGCGCAGGTCTCCAGGTCGTCCTCGCGGGTGAGCCTCCGCAGCCACAGCAGCTCGCAGTTGCAGTGCAAGGGGTTGCCGCCGAAGCTGAGGACCAGCGAGGACAGAGGAGACCCCTTGGATTTGGCATAGACGGGGATGCGGAGGAAAAGAGGGTCCGGGGGGATCTTCTTGAGCTTGTTGGACGTCATGTCCAATCGGGCCAGCTTGAGGAGGTTGGTGAAAACCCCTTCAGGGACGTAGTCGATCAAGTTGTGGTCCAAGTTGAGGGAGTTGACGTTGTTGAGCCGGCGGATGGTGTCCCAAGGGACCTGCACCAGGTTGTTGTAGGAGAGGTCGAGGTCTTCCAGGGTGCCAGCAAAGTCGTCAAAGGCCCCGGGAGAGATGTCCTGGAGTTGGTTGTTGCTGAGGATGAGGTGGCGCAGGTTGGGCAGCCCCTTCAGCTGCTCGGCGCCGATCAACAGCAGGCGGTTGTTGTCCAGGTGTAGCGCGCGGAGGCTGCGGAGGTCAGCGAAGGCGTAGGGCAGGATCTGGCTGATGGTGTTGCGGGAGAGGGTGAGGTGGACCAAGCTGGTCATGTTGGAGAAGTCCTTGCGGCGGACGACGGTGATGAAGTTGTCCGTCAGGCGCAGCTCCACCGTCCGCCGGTCAATGACGGTGGGCACAAAGAGGAGGCCGGTCCGGGTGCAGAGGATGGCCAGGGAGGGAGAGAGGTTCTGGCACATGCAGCGCTTGGGGCACACCTGGGCACGGGCCAGACTGGTGCTGAGCACCACCAGGACGCAGAGCAGGAGCCGCTCCATGGTGCTGCCGTCAGAGGGAGGAACTGCGGAGAAAACAGAGGGTGGGGGAGAGGGGAGAAGTTAGAAGGGGTGGTCACCATGGCAGCTCACAGGACTTTAGAAGGAAGGGAGCTCAGCTGGGTTGCATAATTAATATTAATAATAATAATAATAATAATAATAATAATAATTTATTATTATTTATACCCTGCCCATTTGGCTGTGTTTTCCCAGCCACTCTGGGCAGCTCCCAACAGAATATTAAAAACGATAAAACATCAGACATTAAATAACAACAACAACAATAATAATAATTTATTATTATTTATACACCGCCCATCTGGCTGGGTTTCCCCAGCCACTCTGGGCGACTTCCAACAGAAAACTAAAATAGAATAATCTATTAAACATTAAAAGCTTCCCTAAACAGGGCTGCCTTCAGATGAGTTCTAAAAGTCTGGTAGTTGTTCTTCTCTTTGACATCTGGTGGGAGGGCGTTCCACAGAGTGGGTGCCACTACAGAGAAGGCCCTCTGCCTGGTTCCCTGTAACTTGGCTTCTTGCAGCGAGGGAACCGCCAGAAGGCCCTCAGCGCTGGATCTCAGTGTCCAGGCTGGACAATGGGGTGGAGATGCTCCTTTAGGTATACTGGGCCTTTGAGACCGTTTAGGGTTTTCAAGGTCAGCACCAACACTTTGAGTTGTGCTCGGAAACGGACTGAGAGCCAAGACCAATCTTATATATAACGGTGTTATAAAAACTTCCCTAAACAGGGCTGCCTTCAGATGTCTTCTAAAAGTCAGATAGTTGTTTATTTCCTTGACATCTGATGGGAGGGCGTTCCACAGGGAGGGTGCCACCACCAAGAAGGCCCTCTGCCTGGTTCCCTGCAACCTCACTTCTTGCAGGGAGGGAACCGCCAGAAGGCCCTCAGAGCTGGACCTCAGTGTCCGGGCTGAACGATGGGGATGGAGACGCTCCTTCAGTCTTCCAGAGTTTTAGGGGTGGTAGGGTCTGCCAAGAGTCTAGTCCAACCTCCTGCAATGCATGAATCACAGCTATAGGTTCCCTTATAGATGGCACTCAACCTCTGCTTAACAACCTCCAATGATGTGTAGAATCGTGTGGTTGGAAGGGACCCCAAGCGTCATCTAGTCGGACTCTTTGTAATGTGTGAATCAAAGCCAAAGAATCCTCGTATTTACGGGACTGCCTCTCCTGGTCTGCCCCGCAGAGGACCTTAAGGTCCATGAATCCATGAATAATCATAGTTTAGAGGTCCCGGGCCCTAAGGAACTCAGACTATCCTCCACCAGGGCCAGGGCCTTCTCAGTGGTGGCTCCGACCTGGTGGAATGCTCTGTCCCATGAGACTAGAGCCCTTCAGGATTTAACCTCCTTCTGCCAGGCCTGTAAGACAGAGCTATTCCGCCTGGCTTTCAACTTGAACTTAGCTTGATCTTTTATTCCCTTTCCTTCCCTCCCCCTCCTCTTTTTATGAAGATTACCCGCTCTGGGATCTCACAGCTAATTCTCCCCTGGTCTCCTCACTGACCCAAATAGGACTAATTTAGCCACCTAGCCCTGGTGATCATCCAATGTTTATTGGATGGATTTCCCCCCTAAATTGATTTTTGAATTCTGAATTTATTGTTATTCACCTTTTATACTGTATTTTATGCTGTTTTTTTTTGCATCAATTAAGTGTTTTAAATTTGTTGTTAGCCGCCCTGAGCCCAGTTTTCTGAACTGGGAAGGGTGGGGCATAAATTATTATTATTATTATTATTGTAATGGTTCTAGGGGTTGCTTGTGTGTAAACCAACGCCACCCTTGGCTGGTTGCCTGAGTGAACCCTTTCTGTCTGGACAGCCACGCGCCCGTGACTGTCTCAATCGCTGGCAGAATCCGTTTGTGGGCGTTTCTTGAACTTCTTCCAGCAAAGAAGCTCTTTGACGCTTAGTCTCCGCCTAGCCTCCCTGCGCGGAAGCCTTCTGCGCAGGGAGGGTGTGGGCATCGGAGGACCCGAGCTCTCCCCACTGGTTCCCGGCGAAGAGTCTTGGAGCCACCTCGCCGATTCCCCCATCTGCCCCCCTTCTCCACTGGTGTTACGCTGATTCCCTTCCCCAGAAGATGTGCTGCTTCTCTCCCTCCCGGGACGCTCTCCGGAACCTCTCTGGAGCCCTCCCTCTCCCTCTGGCTCCAATGGCAGTTCCCTGACAATTATTATTATTATTATTATTATTATTATTATTATTATCCAGCCAAGCTCTGCTTAAAAACCTCCAACTAATCATAGAATTGCACAGCTGAAAGGGACCCAAAGGCCATCTATTCAACCCACTGCAAAGCAAGCAGCACAGCTAATCACAGTCAGGCCAAAAACTGGGAGCCTCTCAGTGGAAAATAGCCCCAAATCTTACACCGGGTGCTTGTTATCACTCACCCTGGAATTTAGCTATAAGGGATAATTTGAGGTTTCAGCAGGGACTAGAAAATGCATGCACTTTTTATACAATTGAATATACAGTGAGGCCCTGATTTTCGAGCCAACCCTCATCACAGCCTGGCAAAAATATTCCCCACTTGTCCTTTGTTATTTTAACTCATGAGCAACTGTACTCATCCTACATCCCTGTTTGACAGCTTTGTTTTTCATTTTCAAAGTTTTCATCTGTTGTTATAACCCTTCTCTCTGTTTTATACACGTTACAAAATGAAACTTCAAAACTTTACCAAAAACGTTTTAAAAGAGAGAAGAGTCGAGATGGTTCATAGAGTTGAAAGGGATTCAAAGGGTCGTTTTCATTTATTATTTGTTTCTGTTTATTATTATTTGTATTCCAGCCTTCACCCACAGATCTCAGGGGCCTTCGCAGTAGCATAAAAATACAAGATAAAAACACAAAATACAGAATCAGTTTCGAAAACAGCACTTTGAATTGGGCCCAGAAACTAATCGGCAGCCACTGCGGTCAGGTCAGGATCGGTGCGATATGCTCAGACCGTCTTGACCCGGTGAACAACCTGGCCGCTGAATTCTGCACCAGCTGAAGTTTCCGAACTGTCTTCAGGGGCAGCCCCATGTATAACGCATTGCAGTAATCTAACCAGAGCATGGACAACAGAAGTTAAACTATCCTTGTCCAGATAAGGGCACACCTGAGACACCAGCCAAAGCTGATGGAAGGCCACTGAGGCCATCTGAGCCTCAAGCGACAGGAAAGGGTCCAGGACAGGGGTCAACAAACTTACCGCGCCGCGGGCCGATGTCTCCAGCGCCGATTGTGCGGCGGGCCAGAGGCTGGGGGAGCGTGTGCCCATAGGCGTGCGCACACGCTATTTCCAGCGCAATTTCGGGTCGGAGGAGCACTGAAATAGCTTGTGCGCATGTGTAAGGGCCTCCTCCGACCCGGATGTGCACCGGAAATAACGCTTGCGCATGCGCAAATAACGCTTTCACATGTGCACAAGCTATTTCTGGTGCTCCTCTGACCTGGAAGTGGGCAGCCGTGCAGTGCAGCGTCAGTAAGAGTGGGCGATGGAGGTTGCTGCAGGCTGGATAAACGAGTCCCTCGGGCCTTATCCGGCCCGCGAGCCTTAGTTTGGAGACCCCTGGTCCAGGAGGACCCCCAAGCACCTGTAACCCCATCAAGAGCAGGCGACCTCCTATCCATACGGTAGGGAAAGTTCTTCCTGATATTTACAGTGGTCCCTTGGTTCTCAAACGCCTCGGTACTCAAGCACTGCAAACCCGGAAGTAAGTGTTCCGGTTTGCAAACTTCTTTCGGAAGTCGAACATGCTCCGTTTTGAGTGCCACGCTTCTGTTTTGAGTGTTACATTTCCAATTTCAGTGCCACACTTCGGTTTTGAGTGTTACGCTGAGCTCTGTCTGTTTTTGCTATTTATTTTGCAGTTTTGTTTTCGCAGCTCTTTTTGTTTTGTTTTTGTGATTGTGTGGAACCCCGTTTTATTGCTTTCGTTTTATGGATCAAGGGTCTTGTTAGATAGTAAAATTCATGTTAAATTGTTGTTTTAGGGGTTGTTTTTAAAAGTCTGGAACAGATTAATCCGTTTTGCATTACTTTCTATGGGAAAGCGTGCCTTGGTTTTGGAATGCTTTGGTTTCGGAACGGACTTCTGGCATGGATTGGGTTTGAGAACCAAGGTACCACTGTAGTCAGAATCTGGTTTCTTACTCCACCTTCCATGTGGCAGCCCTTCAGATATTTGAAGGCAGCTGGACGCGGGTGGCGCTGTGGGTTAAACCACAGAGCCTAGGACTTGCCGATCAGAAGGTCGGTGGTTCGAATCCCCGTGACGGGGTGAGCTCCCGGTGCTCAGTCCCTGCTCCTGCCAACCTAGCAGTTCGAAAGCACCTCAAAGTGCAATTAGATAAATAGGTACTGCTCCGGTGGGAAGGTAAACAGCGTTTCCGTGCACTGCTCTGGTTTGCCAGAAGCGGCTTAGTCATGCTAGCCACATGACCCAGATAAACTGTCTACAGACAAACGTCGGCTCCCTGTGCCAGTAAAGCGAGATGAGCGCTGCAACCCCAGAGTCAGTCACGACTGGACCTAATGGTCAGGGGCATAGCTGTCAACTTACAGATTTGAAAATAAGGGACCAGCAGCCTCGAAAATAAGGAATCAGCAGCCAAAATAAGGGATTTTCCAAGTACAGGTATGTACAACTTCTGAGCCCCTCTGAGCCAAAGGCAGAAAGCCCAGCTAGAGGCCAAACAAAGCCTCAAGCGGTGGTTCCCACAGCGCAGCAACCCGGCAAAGGGGATGCATCAAGGAAAACCACCGTCACCTCTCCACTGGGAAGCGCTGAGCAAAGGCGAGTCCCCAGGCAACGCGGCCGATTTGATTGGCACAAGACATGCAAGCTCCACCCCCCAGTCGTTCTGAGACTCCTTATTGGGTGAGCAACGCAGCCAAGCAACACAGTTGGAGCCTCCCTCCTCCCTGGCCGGCAGGGAGGGAGGGAAAGGAGCTGCTTCCTTTGAAACCCGGGAAA